CTTGGCGGTCAGGCCAGGAGGTCTCTCTATTTGGACCTGGACACCTGGTGACAGTGCTTTGGGGGTCGTTGTCAATGCACCAGGCAGTGGGCATGGGGATGGCAATGTATTTCCATGTGGCTTTTCTCTCTCTGCCCCCGTCCCGGGCCATCGCCAGCCTTAGCACCTCTGACGGGGACCATAGACCTAGATGCTCAGAGTGATCTGTGCCACGCCTTCAGTGCCTCCTGGGAGGTCCTGCTCCTTACGGGGAGCTCTGAAGACATGGCCAACTCTTGGATCCTACTGAAATTTTGGTAGATAAGATTTTGCTTAAAATAGTTAAATCTGAACTCAGGCTTGCAAATGCTTTTCCTGGATGAAATGTTTGTATTATGATGTATGTATGCATGGTATAACACATCCTAACAAATATACACCGCTCATCCCAGGGGATTTCATCAGTGAAACGAAACGTGTACCTGAACTGCATCCTCAGGGAGCCTGGGGCAGCCTCAGTCCTCGAAGGGAAGGGATGAGGTCCGATGAGCAGGCAGGAAAATCCCTGGTGCAGACCTGCCAGCTCAAAAGACCTGCCCACAGGTACAGACCAGCCAGCTCCAAGGGCCTGGCCCCAGGAGGGGCCAAGTAAATTGTCCAGTGTGACCAAGTGAGAGCCTTCCAGCCCACTCACGGCCCTCAAAACCCCACAGCCTCAACATGTTGTCCATCCCCTGGGAACACTGTGCATGAGAACCTTCATTTCCAGGTGGCCTGCCCGGCCCCAAGGGAAGCTCTGAAGCTTACCCTCTAGGCTCTCAGCCCCAATTCCAGTGCCCACAGGCTCTGGCCATCCTACCCCTTGGATATCCAGGGGGTCACTTGGGTGTCTATTGTGGGGGCTCTGGAGATAACCTCTAAGGGCTAGGGTCCTTGTTAACAGGCTGGGGGCCACTCCTAGTAGGGCACCTCATCACTCCAAGCATGCCACTAAACATGGCTGTTGGATGGTTCTTTCAGTTACTTAGGCCTAGCCCTCTCACAGGGCAAAGGCGTTAGAGGCATGTGCCCTGCCCGCATGCAGCTCCCAGGAAAGGAATAGACGTAGGACACTGTGCCAATCAGCTGTCCACCAAATGCTGCATAACAAACAGCTCCAAAACTCAGTGCCACACAGCAATCGGCATCTCTTCCTTGCTCCTGTGTCTGCTAGTTGACCAGGCAGCGTGTCTAAGCTGGCTCGGCTGGGTTTGTCTCCAAGCTGCAAGTTGAATTCCCATGTCCTCCATCTTCCCGTCCTTAACTGGGGCCTATCCCAGGCGTGTCCTTCCCATGGCAAAAGTACCAGAGGAAAAGCAGAAACATGCAGGGTCTCTTACGGCCTGTGGTTGGGGTCGGAGCGCTGTCACCTCTGCTCACACGCTTTTGACCAAAGTAAGTCTCATGAACCAGCCCAAAGTCAAGGGGCTGGAAATATATTGCCCCCACCAGTGGGAGGAGCTATAAAGTCACATGGCAAAGGGCATGAGTACAGAGAGGAGCGAAGGATTGGGAGCAATACTTCCATGTACCCCAGGTCTCAAATAGCTCCAGTGATCTCCAGAAGGCAAAGCACATCCTAGGAGAAGCCCAAAGAGCCTTTGGGGTCCGAGAAAGGAGGGGCCACAGCCGGCCGAGAGCCAGGAAGGCTTTGTGGAGAAGGCAGCAGGGGCTTGGATCTGGACCTTGAAGGCTGGGCAGGATTCACCACAGAGGCGAGAAGCACATTCCAGTGGATACAACAGCCTGAGCTGCAGCTCAGAAGTACGCACAGAGAACAGGAAGCAACAGTTACCCAGCCTGGGCCATCGCGGACATGATGGAGAATAAAGAGAGGCAGGCTGTAGAGGTGGATGTTGGTGGGGGGCCTTGAATGCCTAGCAACAGGGCTCGGATGCACTCAGAGGGCACTGGGGAGCCATCTATGGTATTTGAGCAGGGCAGAGGTCACAGATCTGCTCTAGGAAGGAAGCCTGGTAGCAGGGAGTAAGACAGGGAAGAGAGAGGCTAATGCAAGGAGACCAGACAGTGTCCAGGAAAGGTGCAGGATGGCTGAGCTCCAGGAACTGCATGGAGAGAATGAAGGGGTGCAGGGCCTGAGAAAAGGATGTCAGAAGCCACGTCCACGGGGCTTGACCACTGATGGGCAGGTGCTGAGACAGAGAGGGACAGAGTGGAGCAGTGGACCCAGGGAAGGAGAGGGCCTCATTCGGAGCCACCACCCAGTAGTGAGGCACAGGCCCCCCCGACCAGGGCGACATGTGGGGAACTGACAGTGGGCTTGGGCCTTTGGGGACAAACCATTTCAATTGCCGAGGCCTTCCCAGCTGGTCACCCGCAGCCAGGCACCTCCAGACTCCATGTCCTCTCCCAGCCTCCCACTTCATTTACCTTCCACATTGTGTCTGGGGCACTGATTTCCTGTCCCCCACCTTCCCCCATGGCAGCTACCACTGTTTGCTCATTTTGTCGTAGGGGAGACGGTTCCGCCTCCGTTCAGAATCCCACATTCACTGGCGCACTTTCTCAGCCGGAAGATGATGTCACGCTGGGACTTTGCTGGCATCGTGTGACACACAGTGACCCCGGGGGTCATGACCCTGGGGTTGGGGCTCAGCACTTAGCCTCATCCCAGAGCTCAGCCTGGTTTGGTGTGGTCTCAAAGCGTTTCCCAAACCCCAGGTCAGGACATGTGCCGTGGAGAAGGGCTCCTGTGTCCCTGCCTCGAGCGAGTGGCAGTGTGGGGTCCAAATAGCAGGTTCTGGAGCTTTCCTGTCATTTATAGGTACTGGCAGTATCAGATATGCCAATCTGAGGTGCGTCCCCAGAGGAGATGAGGAGCATCTGCATGTGTTGAGCAGAGGCCTCTCCAGACCCCCTTGGCTATGGGTGGTGGTCCCGTACCACGGGGCCCCGACTCCCCTGCTGCAGACACAGTTCAGATTTGAGTGATGTGTGGAAGCCACAGGCTCTGTGTCCCGCACTCAGATACCAAAGAGCAAGGCCTGCCCCTTTCGACCTGTGGGTCCAAGGGTTTGTGTTTCTGGCACGTGGGGATGGTGGAGGCAGCAAGGGTAGGCCTGAGGGACTGGCAGGACCCCCGCCACCTTGGGCTGCACCCCAACCCCATGCACCAGGAGTCAGCCTTGCCAGGTTGCAGCGCGGAACTGCACTTCCCGAGCTTTTAGGGGAAGAGGCACTCGTGAATAATTCAGCCTCTTTCGCTGAGATGAAAACGCCCTAATAGAACTAATGGACTCGCTGCCTCAAAACTCGAACCTGGTGGGACTCATCTCATTCACCAATTGCTTCTGACGTCCTGCAGTGACACTCCCTAATGAAAAAGCCGCCGTGCCAGATCCTTAGAGCGTCTGGTGATCCCTAATAAACTAGACTGTGGCTTTTTTAACGAGCAGACGCCCCCACGAAGGCAGGTGAGTCCTCCCTTCAGCCCCAGGACTGGATGCAGCTGCTACCCTCCTAGGGGAGATGCCGCTCGGGGGCACGCATCCGCGGGAATGAAAACAGAGGAGACGGTGTTTTGGGGTGGTTTTGTCTGATCTGGAATCAGACCCTCTACATTTTTTCAAAGCAGAAGACCTCAAAAAGGAGCCAGCCTGAGGTAAACTTGGAATGACTGTGATGGACGGGGTGGCCGGCGGTGGGTTTCAGCCAGGCAACGCCTCTCGCTTGAGCCTGCTCACAGCCCAGACCTGCCCGAGGCTGACCGTTTTCGCTGTTTTCCCGTCTGCGGGAGACCCGGGCGTCTAGCTTGTACCTCGCTGTGTTCACCGTTGATTAAGATTCAGCATTTTCCGGTTTTGCCCAGAGCACTGTCGGGGAGGTTTGGTCTTGTCTGAAATGTCTGTGCAGGAAGCACGTGCCGAGGGAGCCGGGGACTGCTTGTTTGGGCCTCGGTTTGCTGGTTGTTCTTGAGCGAAAATCATTCTGTGTTTGCAGTGATGCAATGCCGTGTGTTGTAGAACCGCACCCCGGAATGGTAGCTGCTCCCCTTCCATTTCCGCTTTGGAGAACTCTGGCTGGGCTCTCTGCTCTCTGGACAGGTGTCGCCATTCAGAAGAGACGCTCAGGATTCCTCTCAGTCTTATGATGTATGCTTTGTTGGCTTTCAGTAAACAGAGCAATTCAGAAATTCCAGGTAGAGGAGTCTGGGGGGAGGTAGTGATTCCTACTGACTTAATGAGGTTAACATCTTCCTTGCATTTTTCCATGTCACGGTGTTAATTCACATGAATTCCCCTGGGCCCCTGACCTACAAGAATAGATTTGCACAAGGCAGGCCCAGCCCAGGAAAGAACCTGTAGGTGCCACGTAATTAGCAGTGGCTATTGAGGAGGGGCTCGTTTTTCTTGGTACCAGGGTGGTGAGGGAGTGTCAGGGCTCAGAGACCCTCACTCTGGAAAGCGGCCGGGATCTGGGATATTTTGAATCAGAAGTCAGGGTCACTGTGCTCTTGAGCGCAGGAGAAGTGGGGACCCTGAGGCAGGAGCCCGACAGTGAGGCTGCTCCCTCCTCCCTGCAGTGTCTTACTGGGGCCCCTTCATCCAAGGACCTAACGCTGCTAGAGTCTCCTTCAGCAAAAGCCCGGCATAGAGCCCCAGTGTGAGGGAGTCCAGAGGAGCCGGCCTTTGTCCTCTGTCCCCAGGCACCGCTGGTAACGGGCAGAGCCCCTTTACCTTCTGCCTACTCCCATCCTTCTTCCCCCGGAGCAGCCCTCCCAGAGTCATGACCCTTCAGAACCACAGGGAGCCCCCACTGTGCAGAAGGATGCAAGTTCTGGCATGGGAGCCCCCTCCCCTACACAAGAGAGGGCGACCTGCAGAGAGCTGCTGGGTCTGAGATAGGAAGCCAGCCCCGCCCCCATCAACGACTGCCTGGCACTGCTGGGAAATGCCCAGGTATAGCTCTGATTGGCCTTTTGGAGCCTGGGCCTTGGTTACTGTTCTACAAGTATCTGAGCCCCTCCTCTGTGCATGGGGCACTCCCGTGGGCACTGGGCAGGGGGCAGTGACAGCAGGCAGAAGGGTCCTTGCCCTCCTGGACCCAACCTTCAGGGGAATCCAGCAGCCGTGGACCCCTCATGGCACCAGCCCTGCTCCTCACCCCTCCACCCCATGCCAAAGGCTGCCATTTCGGTGCCCACAAGTTCCCTGGCCCAAGCCCTGCCCTGGCACCATGGGGACAAGCTCACAGCAAGAGGCTCTGGGCTCCCTCCATGCCACAGGGCCCCCACCTGCAGGCCTGCTCCCAGGGCTGCGAGATGAGCTGTAAGGAAAGATTGCAAGCGGGCCCCCACAGAGCTGCCCTCTCTCCCTTCTCCCACCCACATCCCCACACTCGGCCCTCCACCATCTTGTTGGGAAGGGGGCGATTATTCACATCTGTGTTCTCTCCCGTTAAGCATTTTCTAGGGAGATTTGGTGTCTGTGTGGCTCACTCCCCTCACTCAAGCCTATGGTCACAAGTTCCTTCCCGCCCTGCCTGCTGGCCCCTACTGGTGGATTTTTCTCTCCACGGCATTTATCATAATTGGTGTCTTATCCCACGCCCCCCCCAAGAGACTCGCTCCGTGCTGCATCACCAACTCCCACCCAGCTGTCCAAAGCCTCATCTCACGTAGCCCACAGCAGCCTGGTACAACAGGCCTCTGCCCAGCCCACCTCACAGATGTGGAGGCTGAGGCCAGGAGCGGTCAAGGTGCCTGCCTGGGTCACACCATGGGCAGGTGACAAGCAGAGCTGTCCCTGTCCAGAAGCTGGGCACTCAGCCACCCTGTCCTCCCACCCCAGGGCCTTGGCTGCATTTCCAGAGCCAAACCAGACCCGGGTTGCTTTTCATGAGTCATGTCTTGAAAGCTAATGACTATTGATCTCAGCCTGGTCGGGCCAGGCAGGGAACTTGCATGTCTGAGGCTGGCCCTGCCTTTCAGAAAGAGCCCTGCGGCTGCAGCCTGCCCAGCTGGCCTTCCTTCTAAACACAGACCTCAGGAAAGCAAGAGTTGGCCCCCATTTGCCCCACACAGGGCTGGCAGCCGGCCACACGGCCATCTCAGAAGCAGCTGCCTGCCGCGCGCATGGAGGGAAGGGAGTGGCCGGCCAGTAGGCAGGGAGGGGAAGCTGGTGCTGCTGTCTGTGGGTGCCAAGGGCCTCATTTCCTAAGATGAACCTCTCCTGGAGTCCGGGCCTCTCTGCCCTCCAGAGCGATTCTCCCAGAAGGCAGAGGGTTTTCCATGCCAGGGCACCTGCCTGCTTCAGCATCCAGAGGTCCAGCAGCCACCATCCCTCGCAGCGTAGAAATGAGCAGTGGTGAATGCAACTGCTGGCATGGGAACCCCCCAGCAAGAGAGGGCGACCTGCAAAGAGCCCCTGGGCCTGAAGCAGGAAGCCCGTTGTGTCCCCGCCAGCTGCTGTCCCGGCACTGCCGGGAAATGCCCAGGTATAGCCCTGGTTGGCCTTTTGGAGCCTGGGCCTTGGTTTCTGTTCTAGAAGTATCTGAGCCTCTCCTCTGTGCACCAGGGGCACTCCTATGGGCACTGAGCAGGCAGCAGTGGCAGGAGGCAGAAGGGTCCCTACCCTCCTGGACCCAACCTTCAGGGGAGTGAATTCAGCACATAGGACAGCTAGAAAGGAATCTGCAAGGTAGATGATGGCGAGCGTAATGGAGACAGATCACAGCAAGAAAGAGGCACGTGGCATGGCGTGCGTGGGGCGGAGAGTAGGATGGGAAGCACAGGCCCCCTGGGAGCCATGCCCGTCAGACGGAGGTGCAGGCTGTGAGTGACCAGCACGGCAGGCTCCCTGAGGACAGCTGGCTGCCCGCTTTTGGGGAGGGAGCCATCCAGCCCTGACCAGGGTAGTGGGGCCGAGGCCTGTGTGGACACTGCTACCATCTCCCTGTAGGGGCTCCTCCGGGGCTCCTTGCCGGCTGGTCTCTCTTTCGCTCTTCTCTGAGCCCACCTTCCCCACCTCAATTGCATGTTCATGCAACAGGCATTCGTAGGCTCTGCTCTGAGCTAGGCCTCATACTGGGCACAACAGGGCAGACATGAATGATGGTCCCTACAAATAAGATACAGACAAATACTTGCAGGGAAACCTCCATGAAAGAGGCAGCTGTGGGGCTCCTGGAGGTGGCCCCCCTCTCTGGGTGCACATATGGGCAGAGCAGTGAAAGGTCAGCAGGCCGGTCACCCATTCTGGAAGGACCCTGGTACATGGGGCTCATCACAAACTCCTGCCCCTTGTGGGTCCTTCCTTTGGCCCCTGGAGCTCAGCCCAGGAAAGGCCCAGCCTAGGGCAACTCCAGGACATCTCAGCCCCCTTCAAGGACCATGCTAAAGCCTCTATAGTTGTCTCAGCTCCCAGGATAGCCCTCCCAGCTCCTCCCCAGGGATAATCGAACTTTTCCTCTCTTGGGGCAGAAGTTGGGGACAGTGCTGGTTCCTTTGCAGTTCCCAGGCCAGGTTCCAGGATCCCCCTGTGCAGCTGACCCAGCTGAAATGGTGACTTCCCCTCTGCACCTTCTCTCTCTGGCAATGACGCAGGGCTGCAGTGCAGTCCACCTGGGCCATGGCCCAGGCTGCAGTCAGGTGGGGTGAGGGTCACTGGACTGGGGACCTCCTTTGTGTTGAGCCTGCCTCCTTGTCCTCATTGCCCTGTCACAGACTCTGCAGGGTGAGGACTCAGCCCCGAGGCTGCCCTCACTGGTCCAGTCACTATTGTGCACGTGAATTAACACCAGTGGTTGAGTTCTGGACACATGCTTTCTCCCTTGGCCTTTTAATTGTCCACTATCTCTCAGGGCTCATTGCACATCAGTCTATGTTGAGACGCCTCATTCTTGACAGCAGCACAAATTCCCGCTATGTGGATGGACTGTCACTTAGGCAACCAGTTTCCCTACTGATGGACATTTACATTGCTTTTAGTTTCCAGGAATGTGCGTTCATCATTTCAGCTGACTATTTAGCAATGGTTCTTCACATAGAATCTTTGAAACTCCCCTGTCCCAACTAAGCCTATTTCCCCAGGCCACTCTCCTCTGCAACCTGCTTAAATGCATTCTGCTTGGTTGTTCTTTTGCAAAAAGCATGAAGCCCAAAGATCTCTGCGGTGCAATGATGCTTTCAACAAGCAGGGAATGTGTTGTATAGATAGCATTTCCCTTTACAAGGCTAGGAGCAAATAGGACCTTCCCGGGTTGGGGCCACCTGGCATGCAGGGGTGAGGTGCCTCCCTGGCATAATTACAGGAGAGTTTACTTCAGCAAGAGTTGTGCCCTGCGCTGCTTTCCCAGGGACAACTTTGCCCTGGGAACCACTTCAAGAGAGCACTGTGATGTGGTACCACAGTCACCACGGAAAATCAACCCTGGTCTTCAGCATTTGGGGGGCTCAGGCTCTGCATGCTCTCTGTGCTCCCGTTTTCATTTGGACACTTGGGGTGCAGCTGTCCTGTCTGGAATGCAGCTTTGCCTGTGCTTGTCTCACAGATGCAGGGGGCAGAAAAGGGCAGCTTAGCCAGAGTTCCTGGCAAGCACTGCTTTGCGGACTGAGAATCTCATGCCAAGAGATGTTTACATCCAGGGGCCGGGTCCCACTCCTAGACACCAAGACCTCCTGGTGGTGGCACTAGTTAGAGGATGTTTCACTGCAGCTGCCCCCTGCCCCCGGGCCAGCCATCCAGCCTGGGGCACGCGGGGCATTGGCACACTGTCTAACTCATCACCGTCTGGACAGTGGCGGCTCCCAGGCCAGGCGGCACCATGTTGTCCATGACGTACAGCGAGAGTCTGCGGAGCGTGAGCAGCAGGTGCCACTCTGAGTGGGCCCTGCATCCCGTCCGCCAGACGGACACGCTGGAACTGCAGCGGCTGCGAGAGGTGCGGGCAGCTGCCCAGGCCAGGAACATGGAGAGCTTCCTCCGCATGCACGGCCTCTCCCTGGACGGCTGCACCGCCCAGCGCACAGGCATGAAGTATCGGTAAGGGCTGGGCAGGGGGGATTGGGGTGGGAAGTCTGATTTCAGCCATGTAAAAATGTATAAAAGGGCCGGGCACGGTGGCTCACACCTGTAATCTCAGCACTTGGGGAGGCGGAGGCGGGTGGATCACCTGAGATCAGGAAGTCGAGACCAGCCTGGCCAACCTGGTGAAACACCACCTACCAAAAATACAAAAATTAGCCAGGCATAGTGGGGCGCGCGTGTAGTCCCAGCTACTCAGGAGACTGAGGCAGGAGAATCGCTTGAACTCAGGAGGCAGAGGTTGCATTGAGCCGAGATCACACCACTGCACTCCAGCCTAGGCAACAAGAGCGAGACACCACCTCAACAACAACAAAAATGTATAAAAGAAGAAAATGAGGCCAGGCATGGTGGCTCATGCCTATAATCCCAGCACTTTGGGAGGCTGAGGTGGTTGGATTGCTTGAGCCCAGAAGTCCAAGACCAGCCTAGGCAACATGGCAAAACCCCATCTCTACCCCAAAATACAAAGAAATTAGCTAGGCGTGGTGCCATGCACCTGTAGTCCCAGCTACTTGGGAGGCTGAGGTGGGAGGATTACCTGAGCCCAAAGAGTTTGAGGGTGCAGTGAGCTGTGATCACAGCACTGCACTCCAGCCTGAGCAACAACGTAAAAAGTGAGACGCTGTCTCAAAAAAAGAAAAAAGAAAGTGAAAGTGCCATAGTCCTATCCTATCAAAAGAAAAGTCCTATTCAGAGTTTGGGGCCAGGCGCAGTGGCTCACACCTGCAATCCCAGCACTTTGGGAGGCTGAGGCAGGCGGGTCACTTGAGGTCAGGAGCTCAAAACCAGCCTGGCCAACATGGTGAAACCCCATGTCTACTAAAAATACAAAAATGAGCTGGGCGTGGTGGTGCGCACCTGTAGTCCCAGCTACTGGGCTGAAGCAGGAGGATCGCTTGAACCTGGGAGGTGAAGGTTGCAGTGAGCCGAGATCACACCACTGCACTCCAGCCTGGGTGACAGAGTGAGACCCCGTCACGCAAAAAAAAAAAAAAAAAGTTTGGTAAATTCTCCATGGGATAAAAATGTGTAAGGGGGTGTTTCTCCATGGGGGAAAAATGTGTTTCTGGGTGTTGGAGCCCCCTGCTGTAAATGATAGGCACATAGGTCTGAATTCACTTGGAACCTCTACAGGACTTTCTTTTCAGTGCGCTTGTCTCTGAATTCAGCACCTCGGACAGCGCTCTGCCAGCCGCCGTTCTCTGGCTGGTGTAAATCCCTGTCAGTTGCAAATTGACAGCTTTATCTTCTGTGCCTCTCAGGAACATGCCCTTGTGAGAGCCAGTCAGCCAAAGGGGACCCTCCCCACCCAGGCCTTGTAGAGTTGCGAGTTAAATTTGAATTTCAGATAAACAGCGAGTAACTTTTTAGCATAAATATGTTCCATGCAATATTTGGGACATAACTTATACTAAAAATCTCCTCATTGTTTATCTGAACTTCAAATTTAACTGGGCGTCCTGTGTTTTATCTGGCAACACTCAATCTCTGGCTTCCATCTGAGACAGACCCCAGGGATCATCTGCGTGCTCTCTGCGGAGTGGAGTGCAGGCCGGGACTGCTCCTTTAACGTTTTCTCCTGTGGACAGCGTGTTTAGTCACACCATGAGCAGGTGACAGCCAGAGCGGCTGGTTGTCATTGTTTGAATATGTGGTTGTAATTTGAAGAAACGAAACACTTCTGCTGTGAGTCCATTAGATGGCAGAGTTTTTCAGGCTTTGTATCCTAAATCCAGCTGTAAAGGAAGGACAAAGGGTCCGCTAGTTCGGCCACAGCTGACCTCCTCGTTCTGCTGGAAATTTCTCAAGAAGGAGACGCTGTGCATTCATGACGGGCTAGTCATTGATTCCTTTTGTTTATTCAGTAAATGTTTATTGAGAGTCTGCTTGGCACCAGGCGCTGGGCCAGATCCTGGAGCTGCTGCATGAACAAGATTAACCAGGTCCCCACCCTCACTGCAGCCATGGCTGGGGGGTGTGGGGGGCAGAGAAGCAGCGAGCTCGCACGGAGACAAGTTCCAACAGTGGCCACCGGCCAAGGCAGCAATGCAGGACAATGCAATAAAGAGAAACCAGGGAGGCCAAGGGGGAACCCTCTGAGAGAGGAATCGTCTAAAGATGTGGAGAACATTCCAGCCCAAGAGGAGAGGGGTCTGGAACGGATGCCTCTCTCAGTTGGAGGAGTGAAGAGAAGGCCCAGGCGGCTAGGCTGGAGGGAGGAAGGTGGAGGACACAAGACGATGACACAGGAGGGGCCAGACCCCATCCTCCAAACTCAGGGGAAACCTCAGCTCCCTCCGATGTGGACAGGATTTGTGATGGAGGAGAGTTTAGTGGGTTAAATCAAGACCCCTAAAATTCACATTCATCCTAAATCTCAGAATATGACATTAGGCTGGGTGTGGTGGCTCATGCCTGTAATCTCAGCACTTTGAGAAGCAGCCTGGGTAACATGGCGAAACCCCATCTCTAAAAACAATCAAAAAATTAGCCAGCCATGGTGGGACGTGCCTGTGGTCCCAGCTAACAGGTGGCTAAGGCAGGAGGATCACTTGAGCCCAGGACTTCAATGCTGCAGTGAGCCCTGTTTGTGCCACTGCACTCCAACCTGGGCAACAGAGTGAGACCCTGTCTTAAAAAAAAAAAGAAGAAGAATGTGACATTATTTGGAAATAGGGTCATTGCAGATATAATTAGTTAAGATGGGGCAATGGGGCCATTCGAGAATAGAATGGACCCTAATTCCTATGACTGGTGCCCTTATAAGAAGGCCATGTGGTGATAGAGAGAGGAGCAATGGGTCCACAACCCAAGGAACTCCAAGGAGTCTCGGTGTTACCAGTGGAGGGTGTCCATCTTGAACAAAGAATTGGACAAAACGCACATACAAAGCAAGGAAAGAAAGAAGCAACAAAAGCAGCCGGGTGTGGTGGCTCACGCCTGTAATCCCAACAGTTTGGGAGGCCAATGCGGGTGGATTACATGAGGCCAGGAGTTCAAGAGCAGCCTGGGCAATATGGCAAAACCCCATCTCTACTAAAAATACAAAAATTAACCAGTTGTGGTAGCTCACACCTGTAGTCCCAACTATTCGGGAGGCTGAGGAAGGAGAATCACTTGAACCTGGGAGGTGGAGGTTGCAGTGAGCCGAGATCAAACAAAAGTACACTCCACAGGATGAGAGTGGGCAAGTGGCTCAAGAACCTGGATACAGAATTTTCTGATGTTTAAATACCTTCTAGAGGTTTCCCATTGGTCGCTTGGTGTACACCCTATGTAAATGAAGTAGTGGCCTGTGATCATTCTGATTGGTTGCAGAAAGTGACCAATCAGAAGCTGAAGTGAAGTTACAAAGTTACACTTCTATGCAAATGAAGACTTGGCCCACGACCAGCCTGATTGGTTGCAGGAGGGGACCAATCAGAAGTATCTTCCGTTTTTCATCTGCCACGCAGAAAAGGGGGCACCATGCAAAGAGAGTAGCCTCTGGTTCTTTTGTTACTTGGGCGTGGAAAGTTGGGGTTTTCCTTTTGACTTAGTTCTAGAAAGTCAGTGGGAATTGGCCTTCAGTTCCCTGCCTCCAGACCCTGTTCTCCTGACCCACCAGGAGCCACCAGACGCTGGAAGGGGCAGGAAAGGACACCTCACTAGGGCATTTGGAGGGAGCCCTGCCCACACCTGGACTTCAGACTCTGGAAGTGGGAGAGAAGACATTTCTGTTGTTCTAAGTCCTCTAATTTGGGGTTCTTTGTAATGTCAGCTGCAAGGAACTAGCACAGGTGAGGAGGACATGTCTTTTGTTTGCCTGAAGCCCCAAGGAAAATGTCTGAGCAGCCTCGGAGACACTGCAGGACCCACTGTGGGGCTGAAATGCCCTTGGGGATCTCCCTTCTCAGGGAGTGGAGGAGATGAGAAGGCAAAGGACCCCCTTTTTTTTTTTTGAGTTTGGGTTTCACTGTATCGCCCAGGCTGCAGTGCAGTGGCACAGTCTCAGCTCACTGCAACCTCTGACTCCCAGGTTCAAGCGATTCTCCTGCCTCAGCCTCCCGAGTAGCTGGGACTACAGGGATGCACCACCACACATGACTAATTTTTGTATTTTTAGTAGAGGCAGAGTTTTGTCATGTTGACCACGCTGGTCTCAAATTCCTGACCTCAGGTGATCCGCCCGCCTTGGTTTCCCAAAGTGCTCGGATTACAGGCATGTAATCCCAAAGTGCTGGGATTACACCCCACCGACAAAGTCCCTTTAGCAGCTGATGGGCCAGAGGTTGTTGTTACACCCAGGTTGGGGTGAAGAGGGGCAGGGAGAATGGTGGCCTCACTCTATCTGGTGAATTTCATTTTGCTGCACCCAGGTTGGTAGGGGGTGGATGGGGTGCTCCGTGACTCAGACCGCCAGTTATTAAAGATCCCAGATAAATTTATTCCATGGTGACCTCTTCTCCATCAGCAACTGGGCTGGGTCTCCATTAAACTTGGTCTTAAATATGAGTATAGAAAAGATGATACCTGGGAAGAGGCACTGCCCAGTGCTGCAAGGAACCAGCTGTTCCCCTGGCCTGGGCGTTTCATCAGCTGAACTGAGCTCCAGCTGGTGGAGGTGGCCAGCAGCATTCCTGTTACACTTCCCCATTTTTTTTGAGACAGAGTCTTGCTCTGTCACCCAGGCTGGAGTACAGTGGTGCGATCTCGGCTCACTGCAACCTCTGCCTCCCGGGTTCAAGCGATTATCCTGCCTCAGCCTCCCAAGTAGCTGGGACTACAGATGCGAGCCACCATGCCTGGCTATTTTTTGTATTTTTAGTAGAAACAGGGGTTTCACCATATTGGCCAGGCTGGTCTCAAACTCCTGACCTCAAGTGATCCACCTGCCTCCGCCGCCCAAAGTGCTGGGATTACAGGCATGAGCCACCACGCCCAGCCTACACTTCCCCATTCTTTAAGCTGTCCTC